TCATGTCAGCCCACACTTGCACACCTGCCAGGACAGCGAGCTCACTACCTGCTGGGCCACAGCTCAGCCTCTTTTTGGCCCAGGTCTCTGAGCTGAGCTCCGTCCTTTGCTCCCAATCCCCAGCCCACAGTGCAGACGGCACAGGAACCCCCAGGCTGCCTAATCATCCTGGGCTCTCACTGCACACTCTCTGCCCTCCAAGGTTCCAATGGGGCTGCTCCCTCCTCGGCAGGAGGCCCTGAGGCTGATAAACTGTGGGCTCACATAGATGTGGGGGTGCCCATGGATGCTTGGGGTCTAGAGTGACAGAATGAATGGCCCAGCACCTCTGAAGGCTCTTCTGTTGAGTCCTGCACCCCAGCACATACACTTCAGGGAGCACCTGGCTCCCAGCTTGCCACAGCTGAACATTGACCTGTGCTGAGCCCCCGTCCCAGGTTGGTCTTCCCAACCCCCAACAGTCCCCCCACCCCCACCCCCTCGGCCTCCTGTTTGTTCTGCGGACAGATCCCCGTTATCAGTTCCAAACACTTGCAGGAAGTCCGGCCGGGAAGGGCCCATCCCAGTCCTGATTTACACGGGACGGAGCATTAAAAGCCGCCCTTCCCGCCGGAGGAGTCTCCCTGTCTGAGTGGTGCCCAGTGCAGTCGACATGGGGGCTCAAGTGCAGAGGCCGGGCAGGAGGGCTGGGCCGGCGGGCCTCATGCCCGGAGCCGGAACGGGGGCCAGCGGGCCCGACAAGGCAGTTGCGGCTGAGGCCGGGCCTGGGCAGCAGGTATGGCAGGGGTGGCCTGGGGGTGGGCTGGCGAGTTCTGGGCCTCACAGCTGAATGGCCAGTCCCATCACTGAGGGACACGAGGCCTCTCAGCCGAGGGCACCAGCTAATACATCTGGGGATCCCAGTGCCGCTATCCAACATGCGGACTTCAGGCCATAGTCCTCCAGGCCCTGGCTTGCTGGGGTCACCATCGCAGGCAGGATGCCCCACACCTGATTTGGTTCAGCACGGCCTTCAGGGGCTTCTCTCGCTCCCCAAACCTGCCCCTCAGACAGGTAGGGCTGGGTTTGGGTGCTGACTGGGTGTGGGGCCGGTATTTCTTGGTCCCTCTTTGTCAAGGCCTGGGATATCAAGCCATGGTCAGAATTCCCTGGGGCCTTCAGGGGGTTCCTGCTTGGGAGATTAGCCCAATAGGAGACCACAAACCAAATCTCAGCCGGAGTCCAGGGCAGACCCATCCCTGGCCTGGCTGGTACCAGGGACTTGGGGTGACTGCCAGGCTGGTGAAGTCCCCTGTCTTCCTCTTACTCCCCATCCAGAGTGGCAGTGGGGTCCCTGCCTTCTCCCTTATCTAGCACCCCACATCTGCGGGAGAGGTTAGGGTACCACCAGCACTGCTGGCTGGCCTCCCAGAAGAGTTGGCCTGAGCAGCATGGGAGGGTCTGTGGAACCAGGAGCAGGGACCTGCAGACACAGAGACCCTACTTACAGTTACAGGCAACAGGAGTGCAGCCCCCTGGCTGCCTCTCAGACCCATCTGCCTGGGCCTCTGTGCCCCTGGGGCAGGACAGTGGTCAGTGAAAGCAGGGCGGCAACCCTCCTTCTGGGGACTGGTTCCTCAGCAATTGTTCCTCAAATGGGCCAGAGTCAGATGTCCTGGCAGAAGCCCACCCCCAAACAGGCTCCTCAGCCCACCCAGGGTGTGGTATGAGGAGGGATCGTGGTGGACAGATGGTACAGTGGCTGTGTGGTGTAAGAGTAGGGTGTGTGTTCTCATGGACTGACTGTGGGCCTGAGGGCAGGACAGGGGCCTGGGGGAGGGCAGGGCCTGGAGGAGGGCAGGGGCCTGGGGGAGGGCAGGGCAGAGGCCTGGGTGCCAACTGCTGGCTGAGGGCCACAGGAGCACAGGGGCCACTTCCCAGGGGCTCATGTTAGCTCTCCCCATCTCTGACTCGCAGCACCCACCTCATGGCCCCAGAGAAGCCGCTGCCAGTTTGCAGAGGATGAAGGAGCCCCCGACACCAAGTGAGTCCCCAAGAAGCCTGGGGTGCTCTGGGTGACAGCAGGGGCTTGTCCACCCCCAGGGTCGACACATCAGGATGGGACCTGGTGATTTCAGAACGACCGAGGTGCAGAATAGGCAGCGCCCACCACCGGGGTCCAGCTCTGGCCAGGCTGTGACTGCTGGCTCCTCTGGCCCCTGCACCCATAAGTAGCAGCCAGGCTCCATCGCACCAGGTGGGGGGCACGTGCCTCCTCCAGGTGACCTTGGGCAAGTTCTTGGTCACTGGTATCTGTGATGACCAGGGGTGAGGGCCAAGGTGGTCATCAGCTCCAGCCTGGCCATACACACCAGGGCTCCGACACAGCCTGAGGGTGAACGCAGGGGCCTTGGGAGGTGACTCACTGACCGCGGGGCCTCAGTTTCCTCGCCTGGGCAATGGGAATGGGGGAGGGGCGGAGGCCGG